TTCTTTCTTTTTCTGGTCATTTTTCTTCACATGTTTTAGGAAGCTATCTCTGCTCTTAGAATGCTTAATATGCTCAATATGCACATTAATTCTCTTGGCAAGAATCTTGCCCTTAACTTGTTTGTGCACAACAATGCCAACAGCATGCTGGGTAACATTGTATACTCTTCCAGTTTTGCCATGGTCATATTTGTGAGGCATTCCTTTTTGAACAGTACCATTCCCTTAATGTCTATAATATCACCTTTCTTGTAGATTCACATGTATGTTGCCAAAGGGATAACTCCATGTTTTCTAGAAGGCCTTGAGAACTTATATCAGGTGCCTCTCCTCTTTCGCTTTGTGTTCGTCATTTTGGTTAATTACTGGAAGATGGAGGTTCTGGTCAAAAGGCAAAAAGCCTTGCTCTTTCTCTAACTTGTAGACCTTCTGCCTGTCGGAACATTTCTTGTGACCTTTTCCTACTCGCCTTAGATGTCTGAGATCCTTTTGCTGAGTGTTCCGTTGCACCCTACATGACTCTTTCTTATAGTTATTTATCTCACCGTGTTGAAGTTACTGTTTCCTTGTAACTCCGTGAGTGCAGAGATTGTGGCTGTTTTATTAATACGGAGCATCTAGCACAGTGTTGCTGATAAGTACTCACACATTAGCATTTATTGGCATTGCTCAATAAACATTGCTAACTTTTAAAAGTTAGCTCAGGCCCAGCTGTGGCCTGGTGATTAAGTTGGCTGGATCCCACCTAGTGGACTATGGGATTTGAGTTTCGGATATGGTGGCTTGAAAAATATGCTGGGCATGTGTGCATGCATGCCAAAAATCCTGAAAGGAAGTTAAATAGAGAAGGGATTGTGTTGTAACCATTCCCCATAGGAAGTGTGTGTGTGGGGCGCTTTCTCCTCTCCCTCTCTGGCAAGTACTCATACCCTCAGGCAAATGAAAAAAAATGTCAGTTTGAAAGTTACCTTTTCAGTAAAGACTTTGTTCTGAGAAAGTGTATGTCTTTCCTTTGAGTCCTTAGTATAATGTATCTATGTTTCTCTGTAGTATCTACTAATAATACATTGAATATGTTTGTTTACGTCTGACTTTGCTACAAGACCATGAACTCCTTAAAGAAGGAACTGAGTTTTTTTATTTATATAGGTTGAGCATCCCTAATATAAATATCCAAAATCCAAAGTGCTCCAAAGTCTGAAACTTTTTGGACTCTGACATGATGCCAAAGTGGAAAATTTCACACCAACTCTCATATGACAGACCATAGTCAAAACACTGCAATACAAGAAATAATGTACAAAGTTACCTTCAGGGTATGTAGTATAAGAGACATGAAACAAATGAATTTCACTTTTATACTTGGATCCTGTCTCCAAGGTACTTTATTATGTATATGCAAGTATTTCAAAATCTGAAAAAAGCCTGAAATCCAAAACACTTCCTGTCTTGAGCATTCTGTAAAAGGAATATATAATCTACATTTGAATCTCTGTTGCTGTTCTTTTTTTTTTTTTTTTTTTAAGAATTATTTAATTTAACTTTAGTTTGACCAGAGAGGGAGAAGGGAGAGAGAGAGAAAGTGAGTAAGCAAGCAGCATGATCTGGGACTCAAACCATGGTTGACCATGTGGGAATCCAGCATCCTTAACCACCACGCCACCTGCCAGCCTCCTCTGTTGCTGTCTTAATGCTTAGTACTTAGATCTCATAAACGCCAGATCCATTATTTCGTCATCATTCTCTTGATCCATTTAGTTGGTCAGGATCACTTGTGATTCTATTCAACAGTAAACATAATATTTTGGATTGTGGAGAGTATTTCTTTTGAGATATGCGTAATACAAATTACAAGTTTTTAAAATGTAATTCTTTAGGATCAGGCTAGTTGGGGCTCCTCCTTATTTACTTACTTATTTATAATTTGCCATAGGACACCTGTGCTTTAATGGGGAGAGTGAGAAAGCACCCTCTCTGGGCATGGTTATGCTGCATTCCCTTCTCTCCCTCTCTCTCCTTTCAGATTTTAGACAGGTATACATATGCTCCCTGTGTTTTTTAAATCTCTGGATGTGGGACTTGAACCGGATGATTGGCTATGTGGAATCCAGCTGTCTTAACCACCAGGGCATGGCTGCTTCTCCCTTTTTAAAAGCAGATACAGAGAGCTTGCGGTCAGTGAAAAACCTATCTTTTGGGGACCAGCAGTTAGCATAATGGCTATGTCGCTGAACTCCCATGTAGCTGACTGCAGTTCGACTCCTGGGCCCGGTGGCTTAAACTCAGGCCTGGCACGTGTGCGTGTGTGCCCAAGATCCCGAGAGGAGAGTGAAGGAGAAGGGATTGTGGCATGGCCATCCCCCTGGGGATGATTTCTTGCTTTCTCTTTGTCTTTCTGGCAAGTGCATGCGCCCTATAGCAAAAACCTCTCCAAAAAAAAAAGAAAACCCACAAAAACCTATCTTTTGCATGTGAACTGTATTTCAGTTCTGATTTTTTGAAACTTCAGTAAAGGACTTGAAATCTTTATGTATCATTAGTCTTGTTCACCTGTACCCATTATTCTAATCTATTGGGTTGTCAGAAAAGCCATGAATATTTTTCTATGCAAGAATATTTCTTAATACTCATTCTGTCATTCTTAAAATTGCTTTTTCTTGCTTTGCATAACTCATAAATTCGGATAAGTGTATTAACTAAGGCATATGGTCCTATCATCTGATCTTATGTAACTAACCCTGGTTAAGTATCCTCTGGTGTCATTTAAGTAGTCAGAACAAGTTTTTGACCAGGATAAGTATTTGAAAGCATCTAACACTACAATTGGTGTTATAATAACATCTTTGACTCTCCATTGATCATCTCTTATTTCTTCACATCTAGAAAGAGTACCATGGAGTTTTCTTTTTTTTTTTTTTTTTTTTTTTAAACAAAAACCACTTTACTGACAACAAAATATACTATATTCTCTAGTCCTGAAAACCTTCAGAAAAAGTAGTTTAGATGACCTGTTTTGGAGCACTCATGATAATGTCTAATGATTGTTAATCCATTTGTTTATGTTTTCTTGTATTTATGGGGCTTGATTTTGACTTGACTTGTGATTTCACTTTTGGGTTTTTCTTTGATTATTGTTACTTGCAGGGTTCAGTTTGGCAAAGACTTGGTGCAGACGTAACAGCCGTTGAATTTTTGGGTCACGTAGGTGGAGTTGGAATTGATATGGAAATCTCTAAAAGTTTTCAACGCATCCTTCAAAAACAGGGATTTAAATTTAAATTGAACACAAAGGTTACTGGTGCCACCAAGAAGTCAGATGGAAAAATCGATGTTTCGTAAGTATACTACATTTGTTTTTAGTTTGATTTTTTGTGTGTGTGTTTTTTAAAGAAAAGCACTCAAGTTCAAAAATCAGATTAGCAAATATAGGAGTTTTTTTGTTTAATGTTTTGGCCATAGGGTGTATGTGCTTGTGCTTGCCAGAGAGAGACAGAGAGAGGGAAAGTGACAAATCACCCCTCAGGGGAGATGGCCATGCCAGTCTCCTCTCAGGTTTTTAGGCAAGCACACACATGTACTTGGCATGATTTTCAAGCTGTTTGGTTTGGGATTTAATGCACAATCAGCCATGTGGGAGTCTAGCACCTTAACCACCATACCATTTGCTGGCCCAGGTTTTTTTTGTAATGTAAAATCATTTTATTGCTTAATGTAACTCAGTATGACTTATCAAGTTAGTATATTGAAATTCACAGTTGAGTTGGAACTACAAAATTAATCCAATGTCCTCATTATTATAAATTACCTTTTCATACTGTATTTTCACAAAATTTAAATCTCTGAACATTTAATAAAGTTAATTCAGTATTAGGCAGATGATATGGGGAAATCACTAATAATATGAGATTTCTTATTATGTCCCTGACACCCTACTTATCAAATACTTGTATAACTTAATGAAATAACATCCTACTTTCAGTCACAAGCTAGCGAATAGTGGTTAGTACTTGAACTTGGAATTTTTTGACTCTTAAGAGCTATGTTCTTTGCTGTGTTATACTATCTATTTTTGTGAAATTTTAATGATAAACATCTACAGGATGTTTATACATTTTTTCATAGCCTGACCCTTATGCTTAGATTTATAATCAAATTAAAAAAAAATTTTTTTAAAGGTTTTTGCCATAGGGCACATGTGCTCACTGGAGAGACAGAGACAGAAAGAAGAAAAGTGAGAAATCACCCCCCCGCCTCCCCAGGGGGAATGGTCACACTACAGTTACTTCTCCATTCTCTCTGCATTTGGGGCATGCATGTATGTTTGGCATGATTTTCAAGCCATCAGGTCTGAGACTTGAACCATGGTCAACCATGTGGGAATCTGGTGCCTTAACGTGCTGGTCCCAAACTTACATTGTTAGGAATGTCTGTAACACTTGAGAAAACTCTGATCTTAAAATGTTATGTCTTTCAACGCTGTTTATGTACCTGTGTGTTTAATAGTTATACATTGTTCGTTGTCTAGTATTGAAGCTGCTGCTGGCGGTAAAGCTGAGGTTATCACCTGTGATGTACTCTTGGTTTGCATCGGTCGACGACCCTTTACTCAGAATTTGGGACTAGAACAGCTTGGAATTGAACTAGATCCCAGAGGGAGAATTCCAGTCAATACCAGATTCCAAACCAAAATTCCAAAGTAAGTTGGATAATTACCTACATTTTCAATAATTTTTAAATTTATTTCAAACTCTATTTTGAAAATAGGACTTTTGTCAGGTTAAAATATGTATTGGCTTGGGGAAAAATACTAATCTTTTAAGATACAAGATAAAAAATAACTGATTTCTTATTGTAAGTTAAAGATTAGAACCCAGAGTCCTATTTAGGAAGAGCTGGACTAGATCTGTGTTTTTACTGGCTTGTTCCTTAGAAGCATTTTTGTTTCCACGGTATAACTGAAGGTGTGTATCTGCAGTTTCAGAAGTTTACTGTGTTTCTTTTGATTTATGTGGTAGCATCTATGCCATTGGTGATGTGGTTGCTGGTCCAATGCTGGCTCACAAAGCAGAGGATGAAGGCATCATCTGTGTTGAAGGAATGGCTGGTGGTGCCGTGCACATTGACTACAATTGTGTGCCATCAGTGATCTACACACACCCTGAAGTCGCATGGGTTGGCAAATCAGAAGAGCAATTGAAAGAAGAGGTAATCGTGAATGTTGGTGGTTTTACTCCCATGAAAATGAGTTGAACTAATGAGCTAATGATACTGATTGGCTGAGTAAAAACAATTTTTTTTAGAGAGATTTTTGCAATAGGGCATGTGTGCTCACCAGAGAGACAGAAAGCAAGCAAGAAATCACCCCCTGGCCCCCACCCCAGGGAGGATTTCTACATTGCAGTCCCCTTTCCATTCTCCTCTTGGGCTTTTGGGCATACACGCACATGTACCCGGTTTGAATTTCAAGGTTCCAGGTCTGAGACTCAAACTATGGTTGGCCATGTGGGAGTTCAGTGACATAACTGTTGTTGTCATCTGCTGGTCCTGAGAAATAACATTTTGTCATTGCATTAGTGTATTTTAATAATGTGTAGAATGTTATAATTTAGCTTATAATTTCATTGTTAGGATCATTAAAATATTGTTCACTCAGATTTATCAAATTACTAATAGTATTGAGAGTAAGATAAGTGGTTTATGCAGTAGTCCTCTTCTTACCCATAGTTTTGTTTTCCATTGTCAACTGTAGTTCAAATATGTGAGTACATTATATTTTGAGAGATGCCACATTTACATAACTTTTATTGCAGTATATTGTTTTAACTGTCCTATTTTATTACCGTTAATCTCTTACCATGCCTAATTTATAAATTTTTTAATCATGGATATGTATGTAAACCATAGGAAAAAAGTTTATGTAGGTTCAGTAGTATCTGTGATTTCAGGCCTTTATTGGTGGTGCAAGTTTTGGATAATGGGTTACAACTGTACTAAATATGCAGTGATTCCAGAACTTTCCTATTTGGTTTTGAAATATAGCCAGATAGACAATTGTATTTACTTCTATTTGTACCCAAGAAATGTTACATTGGTCAGCCTTTTTGTCTTTCCTTCTGTATGCTCTGTGAATGTTGTCTTCCTGGCATTTAGTTCCTGAACAAATGGTAGATGAGCTCTCTAATGGGCTTGAACTGTTTCAGTGCTTATGCAGGTTCTCATTTTCTTTCTCTTACAGGGGATTGAGTACAAGGTTGGGAAATTCCCATTTGCTGCCAACAGCAGAGCTAAGACGAATGCTGATACAGATGGCATGGTTAAGATTCTTGGGCAGAAATCAACAGACAGAGTACTAGGAGCACATATTTTGGGACCAGTGAGTATCATAAAACCAGGAAAATTCTGTTAAGATTTCTCAAAAGCATAGTTATTTGGTTGATTAATATTAAGTCACCTGCTATTTACATTCTGAGGTTGCTATTTACTCACAAAAGTTTGAATATGGCCTCTCTGCATCATTTCTAGCAGGGCACCATCTGTGGTCTTGTTCATTATACTGTCTACTTTATGTACTACAGCTGAGGTTACCCTGTAAAACGTACATTGGCAGACGCTCAGAACTCTCCAATGGGGGCTCAGTTCATACTGTGAACATACAAGGCCCCACTGACTCTTGTCCTGGCCACTTTCCTGACATTGTCTCTTTTTGCTTTCTTCCTTTGCTCATTAGTTTCCTGCCACATTGGACCTGCTTTCATTTTCATACAGGCCAAGGTTGTTCACATTTAGGGCCTTTGAACTCACAGTGCCCTCTGCCTAGAATGCTCTGCCAATTGAACAGTGCTACTAAAAGTACAGCCTGCATTGTATGGCAGGCTCATTATTTAGGTCTTAGCTCAAGTGTTACCTTCTGAAAACTTCCCATAGGGTATGTGTACTTGCAGGAGAGAGAGAGAGGAAAAATGAGAAATCACCTTCTGTGGGGATAGCTGTGCCATAGTTGCTCTCTGCCTTTCTCCCCTTGGGATTTTGGGCATACATGCACATGCTTCTGGCATGTTTTTCTTTTATTTTCTTTTTTATTTATATATTTTTTATTATTATTCATACAGTAAATTGCTACCAGGTCTGGGACTCAAACTGTTCAGTTGGCCTTTTAGGATCTTGCCACCTTAACCTCCATGCCATGTGCTGGCCCAGGAAGCCTTCCTATTCTGGGCTGAGGTTTAAGTATATCCTCCCCCTAAATGTCTGATATATCTGATACAAATACTAGATTGTTAGAAAAGTCATGATGTATTTTTCTGTTTTTCTATGCAAAAATGTGTCATGATTTTTCTTACAACCCAATAGTAGAATAATTGAGTACTTACCATACCTCTTTTCCTAATAACATACATTAACTTTATTCAGTTTTACATCTTGGTGAGGTAGGTACCACTGTTATGTTTGAGGTGAAGAAAATGAATGAAGTACCCACAGCTAGGTAGTGATTGGGGCAGTAATTGGTAGTATCTGAATCCATGCCACCTGGCTGCTAAGGCCAAGCTTTTCTGTGCATCTTTTCTAGTGACAACTTTTTCCTGACACCCCCCTCCCCACCCCCCCTTGTAAAAACAAAGGTTTCAGGCAGTTGAAAATGGAAAGGTCTGCTCTGTAATTAATGTATATAGTTGTTTTTGCCAGGAAAGCAAAATGACTTCTTGGCCTATTATTTTAAAGGGTGCTGGAGAAATGGTAAATGAAGCTGCTCTTGCTTTGGAATATGGAGCATCCTGTGAAGATATAGCTAGAGTCTGTCACGCACATCCGGTAATTGTTAACACAGAATTAATGGCCACCTAAATTTTCTTTTGACCCACAAACACTTGGTTTTTAATTTTAAATTTCTTTCCTTGCAGACCTTATCAGAAGCTTTTAGAGAAGCAAACCTGGCTGCATCATTTGGCAAATCAATCAACTTTTAGAAGATGATATTTTTCAGAAATTTCCTGGAAGCTTTTGTAGAGGTTACAATTCTGAACAGGATATGCTCACAGCTCCAAGGATTTCTAGGACTGAAATATGAAACTTTTGGAAGGTATTTAATAGGTCTGGACAGAATGGAATAATTTCATACCTATATTTTAAATTCAGTATTTTATTTCAATACATTAATATGCAGGACAAAAAACTACTTATAGTAGCATTTTGGACATTTTTCATCAACCCATATTTTCTTGCTATTTATGTAAGGTTCACCCTCACTGAATTTATGTTAAGTAGCTTGCATCTTTGATACAGTAAAGTTGGATTTCCTCTTACAGGGATGGAGCTGAAGGATTGTATGTAAACAGTTGAAATAAGGTGATCAAGTTATTTTAAATTTGTTTTTCATATTGGAAACAGGTCAGTTACTAGAGCAAGATTCAAATATGTATAAACCAAACTGATGTAAATAAAAAATGATGGTCTCTTTGTTTTATTTAACCCCAAATTCTTACAGTTTAGAGGCAAAATTTATGTTTAATAAGTTTTTAAGTTCCATTGAGGATTACAAGTCTGAAGGATATTTACCAAATTAAGAGCATCTATCTACAAAATAATATTAAATGGACACTCAAATGTATTAGTGGGGAATGAGATACTAAAATAAACATGTCTTAATTCTTCATTTAATGTTTCTCAGTGCATGTTGAGATGGTGTTAGTTCTTTTATGACTACTTTTAATATGTATTCTTTATTCTTTATCATTGCTTTATTAGGCCTGAGAGCTTTTTTTCACACAATAAGGTAATACGTTTAGAGGTCATTTTCCTGTCATCTGTTTTGGGGATACCTTTTGAATGTTTAGCATATACTTTTGGAGAAATTGATAAAATGTAAGGGAGTCTTTAATCTTTCATATGTGGATTTCCTTGGCTTGGTAATGGACATTTAAATAACAAACTACTAAATGTACTTTAATCTTTCATATGTGGATTTCCTTGGCTGGGTAATAGTATTTTATATATTATAACTAAATTTAGAAATAATTTTAGATTCATTAGTTCTGAAATTTGGTATAGATAGCATAACTTTCTAAAGATGATGACCGATAGCTTAAAATTTAAAATAATAAAAATGTGTGAAGTAGTCATTCAATTGCGATTTAAAGGTTAGGAGAATGTATTTGGAATGTAATAAGATACTCTCAAGATGATATTAGCTAAAAAGAAAATGTTTAGTAAGTCTTTGGGTTTTGTTTTCTATGTTTCTTTTTCTTTTCTTGTCTTTTTTTTTTTTCTTGAGAGGTTTTTGCTATAGGGCGCGTGCACTAGCCAGACAGACAGAGACAGAGAGACATAAAGCGAGAAATCACCCCACCCGGGGGGATGCCCACGCCGCAATCCCTTCTCCTCTGTTCTCCTCTCGGGATCTTGGACACGCACGCACACGCGCCCAGCATGAGTTTTAAGCCACCGGGTCCAGGACGTGAACCGCGGTTGACTACGTGGGAGTCCAGCGACATAGCCATTATGCTAACTGCTGGTCCCTCTACGTTTATTTCTTCTAGGAGTGAGACAGCACCCCTAAAGGGTATTGACACTGTGGTTTACTCCCAGCTCTAGCAGTCTCTGGATCATAGGCATGGTGTGCCTGGCATACTCAGGCAGGTCTTTGGACATGTAGTAGATGCTTGCCCCATAGCTCAGATTTAGAGAGTACTGCCTTTACCACCCACCACAGTCCAGTCTTCAGGTATTAATTGCATTATATATGGGCCACATATGCCAGTGGTCTGATAGGTTTGTAAAGACTGGATTCTGTTGACATACCTCTGAAAAATACTGATATATTTTTTTGTTATAGGGCATGTGCGTTTGCCAGAGACAGAGAGAAATAACCCCCACAGAGGGGATGGCCACACACATCCCCTTCTCCATTCTGTCAGGATCTTGGGCAGGCACACACACGTAGCCAGCATGACTTTTCAAGTCGCCAGGTCTGGAATTTGAACCACTCGTTCTGCCCTGTGGGATCCAGTGCTCTGTACCACCTGCTGGCCCCAAAATACTGAATTTTTGTTCCAGGTAGTTGACTGAACTACAACTTCAGTAGGTAAAATCTCAATTGTTTGGGGGCAGCAGGTGGGTGTGGTGGTTAAGTCCCTGAACTCCCACATGGCTACTATGGTTTCAGTTCTGGATCCGGCAGCTTGAAAATCAGATGCTGGGTTGTGCATCTGATTTTAGTGAAAAACATGTAAATGATAGCTACAGAGACATAGTACTTGAATTTAACTTGAAGGATTCCCATTCAATATGAGCATATAAATATATCTGGGTGAGAAGTCTTAGGAATAAAAGTTTTATGTGTTCTACTAAGTTCTCAAGATTTTCGTGGCTTGTGAAGGGTGGGATTGAAATCTTTAGTTGTTTTTCTGAAAAGTCATGCAGAGTAGAGAGTTCCTACTACTTTAAGTAAAAATACTTAGTAAAGAAAATAGAGCCCAGCTGCAGTGCTGTCGGCTGTAGGGATGCTGCTGTGGAAAACTGGGGGCCATGTAGAAAGGCTCTGGGTTCACATTGCTGCCAGAGATCCTGGCTGGCTGCAGGGCTGCAGGGAAGAATGCAGGGTAAAAACCCTGTTGGGGTTGCCAATCTCTCTTTCCTGAAGGAAATAAAAATGTATATATAGGTTAGTTCTAGTACATGAGGTATGACCATTTTACTAGTTAGTAGGATTCTTAATGTAAATACAAGTGACAAATAATTTGCCTTGTGCCACAAGGAAACTGCCTTCTTGTTTAAATTATAACTGTTTACATAACTTTTATCCAGGCCCAGCTTCAGATGCAGCTGTGTTGGATGTGTGGGTGGTTGTTAAGTGCTAGAATATTCTTGCTCTTGTGTGAAAAAACACTTAGAGACTGGGCTGTTACCTACCTCGTTTGGCTATCTAAAGTTGATACAGGCTTGGCAATGACATTATAGTTATCTTCTTATGCCACAGACTAAGTGGTTGTTAAATGGTTGTATCAGCCTCACCAACAAATTACATTGGGTCGTCGGAAAAGTCCTGATACATATAAAAAGCATGGAGAAGTGTGTCATGACTTTTCCCATGACCCATCATACCATACCACAGAAGCTGAGAGAGTAGAGCATCATTCTCTACTTTGTGTCCTATGGTAGCATTTTTCAAGTGGCAGGAGTATCCATAAACTCTGGCCTGATTTCATTGGTACCTCCTCAGCAACCTGTCCCTGTTCTAGGAAGTATAAGTGCAAGTCACAGTTAACCCTCCTGATTGGCTTTTTGTTCTCATTTCTACAGCAGGGATTACTTAAGGAGACAGCTAAGCAGCCATTAAGTTGGTGAAGGTAGCCTAGGCTCTTTCTTTTTTAACTTAACCTGGGAATCCCATTGGTAGGTGATTTTGAGGAATAGATTATTAGATGTTGACCTGTCAAGGAGATGAATAATTGCTTGTTTATAGACTGTACAGAAATTAGAGTCTTCATGAAGGCAGCAAACTTGCTTATTAAATCCATCTTTACAGTGAAAATAACATTCTTTGTTAAAGCGATTCATGAACATAGATCTTTAAGAATTATACATAAGATACATTATACAAAAGCACTGTATTTTATTTAACTCCATACAAAATTCAGTGATTAAAAACATTAAATAGATAATGAGTTATTTTGAGGCTTGTAAATCAGTTTTTAAAATGTAGTGATTTTACTTTGGTCACTTCAGCCACCTTAAAGCCTTCTCTCTGCTGTTACAAGCAGGTGCTGTAAATGGCAACTTTCTGGCTTATATCCTTCAGGAGTGAACGGACCTCTCCTTCCAGTCTCACTAATTCTTGAGCTTTGTCTTCTAAATATTTTTGATTGTCCTCATATTTTCTCTCTAAGTCTGTAGACATAAAAAGAAAAAGGTGGTCTGAACAATTTATACTGTGAGGATCTCAAAACCTAATTTTTTGCCTGTAAGGCTCTATTTAAATAAGACAAAGTGAGTGGATTTTTCACCTTTTAAATAAAAAAAGCTCTATGGCTGCCTTAACTTTAAAATAACTGTGTCTTTATGAAAACATGAGCCCAAGTGCGAAAACCCACCTTTCAGCAGCTGAAGCTTGCTGTTTGCTTGAGCCAAAAGTGTTTTTGCTTCATTTTGTAGCATTTCAGCTTTCCTTCTGGCATCAGCTGACTCTTCAGTTTTTTGGGCAATTAAGTTTTCTACTTTCTTATACTTTTCATCCAGTTCACCGTCCAAAGCCTGCAGGTTCACAGTTATACACAGGTGATAATATTAATGTTAGTAATTACATTTGAGAGTAGTATAATCATGGCCAGTTCAGATCATGTAGATGTTCACCTGGATGGCATGCATTCTGGATTAGAGGCTACCGAGAGTATTCAGACTTCAAGTTATCCAATAAGTAATTTAAAACATTTTGAAACAGGAATTCGGATGCAGAATTAATATGATGTTTAAAAAGATTTCAAAGAAATTCTGGAGTTGCACCAAGTCCCTAGGACTAAGCCCCTCATTCTCTTTTGATTAGAACTTTTCTATAGAAAAGTTGAAGCATAATTATATGTAGAGTTATTTAAAGAGTAAAGTATTTTGGACACTGAAGGAGGACCATTGGATCATGACTAATTTAGGACTTGGGGAAAACTTGGCGAAAGGAAATTGGGGAAAGCGAACTTAATAAAAGATTTAGGAAGGGGGAGTGAGACTGTAGCATATGTATAAAGTGAGCTACGAGTGGAGGAATGAGGCAGGAGTTCAAAAGATAATTGCAAATGTTCTTTATGGAAATTCCATGGCAAGGGATTTTCTTTCTTTCTTGTAATAAATGTCATTTTTATTTAAAATGCTTTGTAACCAGTATAGAAATACACATTTGTTATGCTTATTTTAAGACTTCTTCCCCTAAAGTTAACCCCATTTTTCTAATTGCTCATCCAAGTTTGGATCTGAGGGCCTAAATAATACTCATTGGACCCTTCCATATTAATTTCCATTCTTTTCTAAACTCTGTGGCTCTAAACACTGCTTTTTAAAAGGAGTCATTTAGGATGTTTCTGATGAATAACCAGGTTATTAACTCCAAGGAAGTCAGACAGAGGAGACTGCTCCTTTAATCAGCATAGCTGTGAAGTTAGAAAGATTTACCCACCTTTTTAACATCCTCTGCACTTTGCTTCACAGTGTATACTACTTTTTCAATATAGTCTGCCTCCCCAGAGTTCTGAGCAGCTTTCCGCTTAAGTTCTTCCACATTCCTCTCTAACTCACTGATGCGCTGGGAGGCGTTGAACAAGGTTTCCTCAGAAGCTGCTGTTTCAGATTCGATCTAAAATAGAATGCCAATCATCAGGAAGGCATTAGTTTAAGAAACGACAGGAAGTACTATGCGTATTAAGTTTGGAGAAAGATCTAAAAGGCTGCAGTGGGGTAGCCTGTGGGTGCCTGAAGGTTAAGGGAGCTGCGTCCTAACATGGCTGACCATGGTTTAAAGCCCAGGCCAGTGGCTTAATCAAACACTCCAGGTATGTGCATTTATACCCCAAACCCTGACAGAATGGAGAAAAAGAAAAAGAGGGATAATGGCATGACCATACTCCACTGGGTTGCTTGGGGAGGGATTTTCCCTCTCCCTCTCTATTTGGTGAGTG